GATTCGTTACTCCTAGAGACGAGCTGGTGTCTTTGACATGTAGGTTGTAGTTTGTGTGGTTTGTGAATTCTTTTGGGGGGGGGCTCTCAAGATATAGATAGGTAAGCGAGCCTATCTCCCATCCCTTCCTCCCCTTCCCTTTCCTTCCCTTTCCTTCCCTTCCTGATTTTTATCTTTTTTCGTTTTCGTTGCGTTGATAAAGTGATGGACGGACGGACGTCCTACTTGTTTGCTTGCTTGCTGTCCTGTCCTGTCCTGTCCTGTCCTGTCCTGTCCTGTCAATCTGTATGTATGTGCCTGTTCGTTGCAAGCGCAGGAGGGAGGTTAGTGCCTTTTTTTTTGGTCGGGCTTCTTCATTGTGGTCTTCTCGGTGGCTTGGTGTCTTGTCTATTTTCTTCAGTGTGAATGAGGGTTTGGGGTTTTGAGGGTTTTGGGGGGGGGGGGGGGGGGGGGGGGGCAGGGAGGAAGGGGGAGGAGAGAGGAAGGGGGAGGGGAGAGGGGGAAGGTAAGTAAGTAAGTAGTAGCAGTAATAGTACTTATCTCCGTCAGACGGGTATCCAAAACGGAATGCTCAGACCCCAAGACCTCATATTGTATTGGGTACGGCGACGACGTGCTAAGTACGGACCTACACGGAGTATACAAAAAACACCATCCAATCGAAAGCAAGAACCCCACCAAGGAAAATTTCTCTCCCTGCAATAGCCCTCGGGTCTCTCTCTGATCACGCCAACGCCGCAGACCCCTCCTAAACGCTCTAGAAGCATCTCCAAAGATTTTATTTGTCTGCATCGCGCTGTCTCTCGATACCGACCGAATGCGCTTCCATAGCCTTGCGACCGGCCCCGATGTGCATGAGCACCAACTCCGTTCCCCTTATCGACGTGACGCTGCAGAGGCTCCCGCTCGTAGCTTCTGTATCGAGTCGATGTGTGTACAGAGCGCTCTTAGCGAAGGCGCAAGCGATGCCGTGGTTTTCTATCGATCGCATTGGAACCCCCTTTCTGGGCTTACCTCTTCTTATACCCGTTCCCCTTTTCTCTCGCGGATCTTCCTGGTCTTTTTAACTGGGGTAGGCGCGTCGAGTAGAGATCGTAGGCGGCGTGGGATTCGATGAAGGAGAAAGAGGGGGGGATCCGGAACTGCCTGTAATGGAAGATGTCTTTTTTTTCTTAGAGCGACGCCGCGTTTGGATGAGTGACATTTCGGCTCTTGAGATATTATTGGAGAGAGCTAGAGGGTTCGTAGGAGGCACCTCGTGCAGGTCAAGAGTCGTAGCCTCCTAGTAGGTGAGGGAAGGATGGCCGGGAAGTTTGTTTTCTTTTACACATATACGGGATGAAGTCAGTATAACAAGCACAAGCAGGCAGAGCAGAAAATACCTTTTTCCTTCTTCTTCTTCTTCTTCTTCTTCTGATCTTCAAATTGAGCTATATGGCGCGAGTGCGCGCTTGTGATTGTCGTCTATGTTTTCGGGCTCTGTTTATGGATCTTTGAGACTGAGGCTCTGGTTCGGGCTTGATGGGGGGAAATTGCTGAAGGGGTTTCGTTGATCTGAGATTTGAGATTCGAGATCAGAAAATGTCGTCCCGGACCGCCTCAGCTGATCCTGAAGCTTTGTACGGAATTTTTATTCTTTGAAAATTGAAAGTCTTCAAATTCGACATCTATCCTTAAGTCCTGGTTGACGATAGCTGCGTAGTCACCCATCACCGCTAGTATGCGGAAGATTTTGAGCTCAACCAAAGCCTTCACAAACCAAGCTCTAATCTGTTGTCTCTAGAGTGACCGGAGCTTTTGACTGCAAGGTATGTAGCTGGGTTTCTCGGACGTAAGCTTCGTGGATTAACTCATCTCTGATCTTGTCCTTGTTCGCAGATGCCTCATCGACCGGGTCGCTTTGGAGATGGGACGTCTGTCCAAACTCATCGTATTCATAAAGCTACTCATATGCAGCCGTCATCGTCACAAGCACGGCTTGAATATCTTCGGGCGCTTATTCATTGTTAGTTGCATAGAAAAAGTCCATGGATGAGAGAAACTCACGTTCAAGATCAGGGAAGGGCCTCTGGTGTACGGCACGGCCAACTTCGTTTGGTCCGGCCTCGACGCCTGTCGTTCTGCGACTCTGACACTGCTACGCTTCTAAGCTAGCTACGACAGTCTCCCTGCCTTGCTTCTCTTATTTTCTTTTTTTTGTACGAGAGCTCTGTCTCTCTCTCTCTCTCTGTGTGTGTGATCCACCTATCTGTAGGGGAAGGGCGCAGCTGATGGCAGTCTTTGCTGTAACACCTTGAACTGCTTTCTGGGGCTGTCCTGTATGTAAGTCCTTGGCTTAGCACGTCGTCGTACCCCATATGAGGTCCTAGGGCGGTAGGCTCCGCCTATCACCTGCCTGACGTTAAAAAATACAACAAAAACAACAAGAAAAATAAATTCAGGGGCCTCTGCTGCTCAACGTGTACCAAGCCCGCCTCCACGCTGCCATGTGCGAAGCTGTTCTTGTAGGTGTCGAACATGATGAAGATCAGAAGATTCAAACCTTTGGAAGGCTTTGGAGTCGGGTTGCTTCTTGAAAATTCTATTGTTGGAGAGGCATTTGAATTTGGATCTGGACTTGAACCTGATCCTGAGGCGGAGCGGAGCGGAGGGATAGAGTAGGATGGGTGCTTATTTTCGCCGTTCCAGAATATCTTTTCCCAGCCGGTCTAAGCGTCATCTATCTGACATTTGGACTTGGACATACGGGGAGGACGAGGAAGAGAAAGAGGAAGAGGGTGGGGGTTTGGCTGGCGTGATGGCTTCAAAGTTTGAACCCCACCACCGAAAGAAGAAAAATCTCGGGTCGAATATGTTTCGAATATCCGTAAGAGCAATAGGTACTTCTTCTTTTCGAAGTGTTTCTCCAATAGGTAGTCAGTGCGCTGACTGTGAGCGTGCGAGCTCATTGGAACCGTCACCCGACAGAAAAATTTCTGGATGGATATACCGTTTCGAATATAGGGAAATGGGCTCTTTTTCTAAATGCATCTCCCAGCTTCACTGTATCAGATACGGCCGTATCATGTACTGGGCAAGCAATATCCCTTCCCTTTGAAGCCTAGAAGCTCTCTCGATTGAAAGTGTTTTTCTCCTCTCTCGAGTTGTTTAGTATTGCTTGCTTGCAGCAGAGCGACTTTTGGTACCCGCCCGACGTTAATAAATACAACAACAACAATTGAGGTCAGCTAGCGCTTTATCTTTGCCTAGCTGGCGCGCTTCTTTTATAGAGATCGGTCTACCTTGCTTGAGCACATAATTTGCTAGACTCGTCGCAAGTGTTGCCTCGCTAGATAGCTTAGATAGAGCATTAGTTGGACGAATTATCGATACGCTGAAAATTTCTCAAGTGGTATAAGAATCTTAGCTTTGATTAAATCCTCGAAGTAGCGATCGAACGCTTAGTATTCTTTTGAAGTAGCTAGATAATAGCAATAATATCAAAGCAGAGCGCTTATGGCGTAGTGTAAATAGATCAGATATATTAAAGTCGTATTTGCAAATTTAGAATTGCGACGGTGCTATTGAGAATAGCCTTACCTTTTCTTGATAAATCTCAATAGCGAGGGTAAAAATCAACCCAGTTTAAAGTCGGTGTGTTTTGAAAATCGGTATAGCGCACGCGTTGAAACGAGTGAATAAGAGCAGCCGACAGCTTGCCTTATTAGCGCACGGTTACCCTCAAGGGTGTAATAATTACGCCTGCGACGTTTTAATACCAATAGCAATGCAATTCTATTCATTTTTACTACTCAAACGCTATAGATTTTGATACTTGGCATTTATAAGTCATTAATTCCTGCCAATCGGCCACTTGTCGCCGTTGGCCGTTTCTACCGCGCACGGCTTGCCAAGGTATCATTTAAACCAAAGGATACGGTAGAACCCCGTTTTATACCGGTAGTTATGAGCTATTCGTATTTATCAAAAGGGTTATAATTTTTATTTGTCATTTAAAGCTTATGATTATAAAAAGTTGAAGCTCTCAAATGGACAAGTGTTTCAGAGCAGATTTCGCCCAGAGGCTAGGAGTAACAAGTACTTGTGCGGCCAGTAAGTATGTTCCCATGTGTTGATCGTTTTGGACTGGGGAAAGGGGTTACAACTGTATTGCTGGCTTCGCCCAAATTTGATTCAATATTTAGGATGATCTGCGACATAGGGAGAGAAGCGAGAAAAAGAATGACTCAGCGAGCAGAATTCAACGTCGTAAGGCGGAAGCGAGCATTTTAATACTTAGTCATCATTTCCTGCCAATCGGCCACTTTTCACCATTCTCCGCCATGCACTCATTTAAACCAGAAAGTACTGTAGCTTTGAGAGTTGAAAACCCTAGGTTTAATACGAAGATATCACCGAGATTTGAAACGGCAATGTTATGTTGTAGATTCTAGATGCATAGGTACTCCGTAGACAACAACCACATACCATGTAATGTAATAAGTCATAGCAGTTTCCTGATATAAATAAACATAGAAACATAGGCTATCAGTAGTCATAGCATCGGATGAACCCATGGCATTCATGCATCTTCCCGGACGGACGGATATATTAGTATTGCCGGGTCCGGTATTGTTTCAAAACTCCGTATATTCGTGTTTCCAATAATGCCGATATCTCGGCCTGCGCATATGCCAAGAAGGCGGATTCCAAACCCACCAAGCATAACAGGTATGACAGGTAAGCTTATCCCATTTAAGCTTGACAGATAAGCACATACGGAGTAGGTCTGAACAAGGGGGTTCAACACTTCAGTCCCATGTTTTGCCCTGTAGGCCTCGATAGCACGCTGATTTGGCATGCTGTACCCTGAAGCAAGGTTCGCGTAAATTTTAGTATACTTGGATACATCCGAAAGCGCTATATGACCAATTTCGCTCAGAAACACGGCTAATTCTCTAATGGTTTGATATCTCCCAACTATTTTCTCTCTAAAGGAGCACCCAGGTACGCTAACGCTAATATCAACGGATTTTTTTTTTGCCCCCGTTATGCATTACTACATCGGAGTTCTTTTTTCTAAAGGCTACGAGTTTGTAAGCAACGAAGCTCTTAGCAAAGCCATACGAACTATTAGATTTCGGTCCAGTAAACAAACAGCCTTCGCTCACAATCATGACTTCCTTATCGTTCTGAAAATCTAAGAATATTGTTATTTTCTATTATTGAAAAGTCCCGTACGCTTTTACGCCGTATAAATTGGGCTGAAGCGCTCCGTGTTTTAGGAAAGGATGACTCTTTCGTTGCTATAATCTATTGACATGGGATCGTAGAGTTGCAGACCCTTGAAAACATGTTACTGACGAGTTAAGACCGTAAGCTTGTCCATCCCATTTGAGCTCGGCCAAGGGAGTTTTGTTTGTCCGTCGGGACTTTGCCGAGAGTGAGGTAGGGGTTAAGAGAATGTTTACGTACGAGCTTTGGATTGACGGAAGAAAGTGCCATGCAAATCTCGAGGAGAAAAGGGACGAGTATCTATATAAACTAATCAGTACATGCACCTAATCTTGTCCCGTACACGTTCTTTCTCTTTATCAAGCTTGGGTCTACCTCATTGCACCGTTCTTTACATTTATAGTCCTTCACTTCGCTCTTTTTCACATACATTCTATTACTCCAGTAGCTCCACTCTGAGAGTCAGGACGCTACGATGAGGACTAGCTCAACTCATGGCCTCGCCGTGTTCGGCCTGGCGACTCTCGCTGCGGCGATGCCGGAAGGCGCTGCCACGGCCGGAAACTGCCCGACGCCCCGAATGTCGGTTCAAGGCGCTGATACGATCTTGCTGAGAGAGTATGCCTTGGGTTTAGCGAATGGGGAGCCGAAAATCACGTATGAGCATGGGGTTGCGTGGATGGCGCTCGAGATGGTGCACAATGCCACTTCGGAAGCGAAGTATCTGGATCACATCAAGAAGGCACTCGACAATCTTGTGACCACGAGCGGAGAGTTGAATGATTATAATTGTAGGCTGAAACTTTTCCCTTTCCGATCGGGCAATCTTGGATTTGAACATCGAGACATAACCTTTCCCTTCCAGGGACGGCTTGTAACAAGCATTTACTGACTTTACCGTGTTCCAGTGACTGCCTATACGCTGGACGACATAAGGATTGGGGAGACGCTCATCTATCTGTAAGTTAGCTCGCTCTTCTTCCATCGAATATGAAATTCGGAGATCCATAATCCTTTTGCTGACGGAATGGTTGCTAGAAACAAGGAGACCGGCGAAGACAAGTACAAAGCCGCCGCAGACCTCCTGTTCTCCCAGCTGGAGACCAACCCGCGCAACTCCGAGGGCGGCTTCTGGCACCGCCTCATTTACCCGAACCAGATGTGGTTGGATGGCCTGTACATGGTTTCGCCCTTTTACGCGCACCATACCGCATATTACACGCCCACAAATACCGCCGCCTTTGACGAGTAAGCTGCTTGGGCCATAACCATTCCCAGAACTTTAAACGTCTCGAGAGCTTCTTGCTCCTGATGCTACCCCCGAGACATTCATTAAAAGAACACTTGCTAATTTCCCGATCTCCCAGCATCGTCAACCAGTTTGTCCTCACGAATACCAACTGCGTGAACTCCAACTCCGGGCAGAGCGGCCTGCTCAAGCACGGATACGACGAGAGCCGCGAAGCGGTCTGGGCGGATAAAGCGACGGGTGCGAGTCCTGAGACTTGGAGCCGCGCCCTGGGCTGGTACGTTATGGCGCTGGTGGACGTGCTGGACTACCTGCCTGCGTCGCATCCAGGGGCCGCAACACTGAAGGAGATCCTGGAGACGAGTGCGGCGGCCATCAAGAAAGCCGTTGATACCGATAGCAAGATGTGGTGGCTGGTTATGAGCCAGCCGGGGAAGGAGGGGAACTATATTGAGAGTAGCGGGAGTGCGATGTTTGTGTATGCGATGTTGAAGGGGATCCGCATGGGGTATTTGGATGAAAGTGAATACAAGGAGACGGCGACGGTGGCGTACGAGGCGATGGTTGAGAAATTTGTGAGCAAGAATGCGGATGGGGGGTTGGATTGGGAGGGGACTGTGTCGGTGGGGAGTTTGAAAGGAAATGGAGACTACGCTGTGAGTTATTCGCCTTCGCTCTGCTGGGGGCAGTAGGGCAACTTTGGAGTGATTGATTGACTGACTTTCGATAGTACTATGTGTCTGTTGAGCTTGCTACCAATGATTTGAAGGGCTTTGGACCCTTCATCATGGCGAGCATGGAATATGAGAAGGCTATGTGCGCCTAGAGCGTAAAGGGGGACGATCTTGGTATGGGTTGGGCTGGGTATACGTGTGAATGAGGTGGGAACGAGATCGGGATCTCATGTTTGGCCTGTCCATGGATGAAATTTGCCCATATGGTGGTGAAGCATCTGTATATACTTTGGTCCGAATGCTATATATTTCCTAAGTGACAGATTCGAGCTGGTCATTATCACCCTGCGACTTCTCCCCTATACCTTAGTGTTCTCCACGGCTTCAAGGCGGAATTAGACAAACGCTTATTAGCTTGCTCTGCTACAAAACTTCAATCAATCTGAGGAAAGGAGCCTATGATCTCGAACGTACCGCAAACGAGTACTGAACGGTAGAATCTAACGAGCCCTGATCTTGGGGGGCGATGGGGTTGGACAAGACCAAAACGCTAATGTCAACACCAGCTCGTTTAAGAGGCTCGTAACCTGGACAACGAGGGCTTAGTCATAGTATTGAAGTTGAAATGAAATGAAATGAAATTGGGAGAGAAGGGCTCGGAATGTCCGCAAAGCAAGCTGCAGATTCCTGAGTCAGAGTTGTTTACTTTAAATTATTGTAGTCAAGGTTCATAAGGGAATTTCGTAATATGACATTGAATGTTCAAATATGAAAGGTGCCCTGCCGATGTGCAGCAGATCCAAAAAAGTAAGCACCCCAGCTCCCCTCCCCCTCCCTACGATAAGCCGAAAGACGCTAGCATAAATTTCGGTTAGATCTGGAAACATCCACAATCATTAGTGGAGGGGTATCGACAACTCATATTCGTGACAACTCCATAATATCTCCCCGTCGAACTCTTACATTTTCCAACCCGACCCAACGCAACCCAAACAAACTATCCTTGGTTTCCGAAAACCCACTTCAATATTCAAGATGGCCGATACCACACCCAAGCCCACCGAGACTGACACCAAGCCCCAGGTCGATGCGGCGAAGGAGGAGCCCGCGAAGGAGGAAGCCCCTCCGGTATGCGCGTCCCATCTGCTGCTCTGCTCAATACCGGCTTTGAGGAAGCTCTAGCTGACTGTGATAGACTCTGACCGAGCAAGCTACAAGCGCTGCCTCCGCAGCTGCTACGACCGCCACAGCCGCCGCCTCGAACGTCGCCGATAATGTTTTCTCAATGTTCGGTGGAGGAGCTAAGAAGGAGAAGAAGGATGACGAGGATCGTGGCGACAACTCCGGATCTGCGAAGGCGCAAAAGGCTGCTGCCGCCGAGGAGAACCCAGAGGTATGCAACATTATATCTAGGAAGAAGGCAAACGGATCGGCTGACAATATTTGCGCAGGAGGAAGCCCCAGAGTCCGAGGACGTCCACTTTGAGCCCGTCATCCGACTCACCGAGAAAGTCGAGACCAAGACCAACGAGGAGCTCGAGGAGCAGACCTTCAAGATGCGCGCAAAGCTCTTCAAGTTCGTCAAGGAATCCAACGAGTGGAGAGAGCGGGGTACCGGTGACGTTAGACTGTTGAAGCACAAGGAGAACGGCAAGACAAGATTGGTTATGCGTCGCGACAAGACTTTGAAGGTCTGCGCCAACCACTACGGTAAGCTCTTGCAATTTGGCTTTCGGTTTTGGTTGATGCTGATAATGGCCATAGTTGTCCCTGAGATGAAGCTTTCCCCCAACGTTGGCAGTGACCGCAGTTGGGTGTGGAACGCTGCTGCAGATGTCAGCGAGGGAGAGCCAGAGGCACAAACTCTTGCTATCCGATTTGCCAACTCTGAGAGTGAGTACTGGATCTTCTGCGTCAGGAATCGTAGCTGACCTTTATTTCAGACGCCAACCTATTCAAGGAGGCATTCATCAAGGCTCAGCAAGAGAATGAGGCTCTTTTTAGCGCGGCTACTTAAATCCATCCATGGCGCACCCGCATACGGAGGTAAAACCCTGGATTTGATTCGGCATAGCACAGCGTACACCCCAAAATTGACGAAAGTCACGATTCACTCTTCGCAAATTCATTTCCCGTAGACACCCCACAAGCGCGCTGCTTTTCATGAAAGAAATATTTGAATTCCCCGAAGTCCCCGAAGTGTATCTGGACATTTGATGGTCTACGCCATTATGTCTGAAGATTGGCGGTAATGGAGGACATTGAAGCTTGAGAGTGCCATTTGCCCCAAGCTGAGGCATGAAATTGTAGTTAGACTAAATAGCAGTCCCTCTTCGTCCCCTGTTTTGATTTTTTCCACTGTGAGACAAGTCAACTTTTGATAAAAAATTCTGGACGTATCTCTGCTTAGAGGAGTATCCTCACGCCCATGTTAATATTGTTTACAATGCTTATTGTTGCTTTCTTTCTTTCTGATTCTTCCGTTTACCTTCCAAACGTGATTCGTCACTTGCGATTCACTCACGGCACTAGTCCGCTTTTCGGGTTTGACCCCACCAAAGCTTTCGGCGCTTCGCGTCTGCCAGAATCGACCTTGCAACTACACAACTCCTCGGACGCCAGATTTCTTCTCCGACAACCCCATCCCTCAACAAACTACCGTCAAGATGGTACAAGATGTAAGCGCTCCATCCTCAATCTCTATAATAAGCTTGCGAACCCTTTAATTCCCTGAGCCGAAGCTTACACCTCACAGATCAAGCGCACCGTGAAGCTCGTCACACAGCAGCGCAACATGTATGTTTCTTTCGTTTCCTCCCAATGGCGCGTGCCAGCCCGCGCTCGTACTGATACAGCTCACAGCGACAAGCCCTCTGAAGTCGAGGGGTTCCCAATGAAATCCTGGAACATTGAGATCTTCATGTTGGACGAGGCAGGGAACGAGAAGCCCGCGACTTGTTTCACGAAAGTCGTGTATACTCTGCACCCTTCGTTCGCCAACCCCATTCAAAGTAAATTAAGAGTTCCGCGCCTGGTTTATGAGAACTAATGTTGTGCGCGCGCAGCCTTCCACTCAGCCCCCTTCCGATGTGAGAACGAGGGATGGGGAGAGTTCGACATGTCGATCGACCTCTACACCTCCGAGAAGGGCGGCAAAAACACTATCCAGCATGACCTGAATTTCGCAAAGAACAGCTACGAGGCTAGACACACCCTCACCTTCAAGAACGCGAGCGCCAACCTCATCAACCATCTCCGTGAGACCGGCCCTGTTCCCGGAGACGAGAACGGGCGCAAGAAGGACAAGAAGCCGGCGTCGAAGAAGACGGGAGTGGTTGACATGGAGAAGCTGGCGGAGGCCTTGGTCAAGTTGAACGAGGATGATCTCCTCCACGTCGTCCAGATGATCCATGACAACAAGTCGGAGGATACCTATACCAAGAACGATGTCGAGCGTAAGAGTCCTTGCTCCACCAAACGTGGATCGCCTCTAATTATGATACAGAGGGCGAGTTCCATGTGGACTTATACACGCTGCCGGACACTCTCCAGAAGATGCTCTGGGACTACGTCACGCTCGGCAAATAGGTTACCTCAGAGGATCTTGCGCCCAATCACGTTTATTGCGCCCTCTCACCCGAGTTTAGCATAAAAGCATAGCAGACTGGCTCGCTGATTTTCCTAAGATTTATTCAGGTTACGACAGGCGTTTCTGCGAATATGGAATGGGGGATAGCATGTTTTCCACAATTTCTTCGTTAATCATTGCGCTCTATTGCTGGAACGGCGTCAGGTCTTTTGCCATCATTTCCGATGGAATGTATTTACGCAGCAGGCGATTCGGAAACTTCATGCATGGAGGTGTAGGGAGGGTCTGGAAAGGCAAAGGGGGGGGGGGGGGGCGGGGCTAATGGTCGCATGTCATTAGCATTTGCTCTACGGTGGAGCGTTATACCATATTATTTCGCAGTAGGGGTATCTGGAAACAGAACTTCCCCCTTATTCCTGAACTCCTTCTATGCGTGTGACCCTTCCCGTTTCCAACGCCATAACCCAGAGAACTTAGTCGTCATCACCGAAGCTCAATTTGATCTTCTTCGCCTTCTTCCCCGGCTTACCCTTCTCCGTCTTCTTAGTTGATGTACTCGGAGTCTTTGCTGTGGCATCTTTCTTCTCTGCGTAGAACTTCTCCGGCGCATACCCATCCCCATCCTCATCATCCTCATCCTCCGCTCCCACAACCTTTCCCGCCTTCCTCTTCTTGCCTCCCCCGATCCCAGCAATCTTCTCCTTGCCAATATCAGCCTTCCCTAAACCCCCCTTCTTCCCAGCTTCAATACTCCCCTCGACACATCTTTCCACATCCTCTCCAGCTTCTCTAGCTTCCCACTCACTCTTCGTCAGCGTCTCCCCGCTCCCCTCGTCGAAGTACACCGGCTCGTCCTCCGCCTCGTCTTCGGCGGTGCGCGTTTTCTTTGGCCGCGCGACGGTGTACTCGTGTCTGCCGTCTCCTGCGTCATTGTTGGCATGCAGGCGCGCGAGAAATGGAGGGAGGGTGTCGTCGTAGTGGAGGTTTTTAGATGTTATCTTGGACATGATTTTCGTGTTGAATGAGCGGTTTGGAGTCGGGGCTTGGGCGAGATTATGTCTCTTGGACTTCGATGCACTGCTGACATGTGTGAAGGTAGGCTCGATGAAGGTTTGGATAATATGCCCCGATTGTTTGCCTTTGGAATAGAGTAGATGGCCACCACTGTCCCAAAACAAGATACGTCGAGGTTAAATCTCTCAAAAGTCAAAGCTAAAGTTCAGCCTCATCTGATAAGTAAGTAGGTAAGTGAGTAAGTACTTAACTGCAAAATCTACCGGCGCCTATTCTTAGTCTAGAAATTAGCACATTACTCGCTGACATTTGCAACGGGGCCTAGGGGACACCCGCTACAGGCAAAGTTTGATTACGAGGATAAGCGTTCAAGTAAAGCTCACAGGTTAACAAATAAATCTATCATCTGGTCGAGTTCTCTCCAGGGCTCATTCATCCATGCTCCGGCCCGGTGAAGCCGTCTCGCCAAGAAAACTTTTAGTCGAATCCGGATTGGAGAGCCCTGCCAGCCTGCAACCGCTCCTCTAACTTGAGTACCGGTATTCAACTCCAAACCTCTGCTCAGGGCATCGCCGACGACAACTTCCGTCACCTCCCCATCTCCTCCTCTCCTCCCTTCGAATGACCTAGATCATCCTCACTTGCCTTCTCCAGCTGCTTGCGGAAGACGGGCTCCACGAACCTGTCGCGTCATCGCAAAGTGTCTCTTCTCAGAGGGCATCTCCTCCATTCATTCGTTACAGCTGTTGTCCAAGAGATCAGATAGGGCCCTTCTATCTGCCTGCTCCTCCTTCGATTCAATCTTGCGCTTCCGAATACCAGTTATAATACCACGAATACCGGAGGAGTAATTGAGGGCTTGGGGCAACTACCGCCCCCTATACCGAGCCTTTCCCCAACGACCCACGCACCACCGCTTCGATGGGTTTCGTACAGAGAGTTCTCAAGCGGGCGCCTGCTTCGCCGCCCCTACCTTCGATCGACGCGGGCAAGAGCAAAGTGAAGACAAATTCCAGACTGGCGTTCTTTCGGCGGCCGCTGCGATTAAAGGGCAATTCTAGCATTTCAATACCCCTTGGCGTTGTTCTCCTGTTTCCTTGCATCGTTGTTGTATTGATATTGGTGCTGTTTGTCCGACACCCTAAATCAGGGGTTGGCATCTTAATGCCTGCTGGAGCACCACCAGCTATCAGGTATGACCATTTCTGCTGGGAGACTTGGAAGCCCTGGGCTGATGCATTTTCTGAACAGGAAAATCAGCGAACAGCATGATAAAGTCTTCGTGACAGGATGTCTAGAGCCCGATACTTCGAAACCGAGAGCGAATGCGGCGTTTGTGGTGTTGGCAAGAAATAAGGAGTTGGAGGGTGTCATTCAGTCGGTCAAGTCCATCGAGAGACATTTTAACAGATGGTACCATTACCCATACGTATTCTTGAACGATGCAGAATTCAACTCGACATTCAAGGAGACGATCCAGAACTACACCAGTGGTAAGGTTGAGTTTGGCACTATCGACCCTAAGAACTGGGGCTTCCCGGACTGGATCGACCCCAAAGTTGCTAAGGAGGGCATTGCTAAACAAGGAGACGCTGCTATAATGTACGGCGGAATGGAGAGTTATCACGCCATGTGCAGATTTTATTCTGGGTTCGTGCATCTGCCATGCGATCCGGGAAGGAGCGCTGACATGGGATAGATTCTTCTACAAGCATGAACTTTTGGCGAAGTACGAATGGTATTGGCGACTGGAGCCAGAGATCAAGTATTTTTGTGACATTACGTAGTATGTTTCTGATCTACGGTGTATCTCACATTTTCTGACACGATATAGCGATCCTTTCCTGAAGATGATTGAGGCGAACAAAACATATGGCTTCACAATCGCGGTCAAAGAATTGAAGGAGACTGTGCCCAATATCTTCAGATACGCATCTGCATACAAGAGAATGAACAATATCACTTCCCAGGGTCTGTGGGAGATGTTCGTCGAGCCGCAACCGGAAGAGCCCAAGGATGTCCCTCAGGAGGAAACCAAGCACGCACTCCCGGAGGAGATTCTTCGTGGAGATCCATCCCGCGCATCCTTGCCAGATATCGATCCGGAAAACATGGAGGGGGAAAAGTACAACATGTGCCATTTCTGGTCGAATTTCGAAATTGCTAGACTCAGTTGGTTCAGGAGTAAGGAATACGAGGACTTTTTCCAGATGATGGATCGCAGTGGAGGGTTTTGGATGGAGAGGGTAAGTCTCGACCAAGACTTGTGGTTTGCAGGATGCTAATTGATTGCAAGTGGGGTGATGCACCAATTCATTCTCTCGCAGCCGGAGCACTCCTTGCTCCTCGCGATATCCACTACTTCCGTGATTTCGGATACAGACATACTACCATCCAGCATTGCCCGGCGAATGCTCCGACGAGGCAGATGCCTCGATCGCCTTTCCTAGAGACGACCACTGAGGACGAAAAGAAACGGCGAGAGGAAGACGAGTATTGGGACTCATGGGATGCACCCAAGGAGAATGGTGTAGGATGCAGATGTAGATGTGACACGGATATCGTGGACGTCGAAGGAAAGCAAGGTTCATGCTTAGCTGAGTGGGTTGACGTTGCTGGTGGCTGGGCAAGCCCTTGATAAATGGAACGAGAAAGATGCATTATAGATGATGGGGGATTTGGAATCACCGTGCCGGCCTCGCTAGTGCCCTGGCTTGATGGGGTTGGTGGTTAAATGGCTACGCACGATCGAGAGGCGGAGGGCTGGATGCCGGCTGTATTCAAGGGAAGCGAGGTATGCATCATGGCGTTTCTGGGCTGGGGCTATTCTATATTTCAATGCTGAAAACATATTTTGCATCATTGGCCCAACTTCCTTGCTCTTGACGAGGGGTTTGTCGACTGAGAAGTGGTGGTATATATGATTATCTGTGTTAGTAGCACAAAAAACGCACGATGGTGATTTTGTGTTTTGATACCTGCTGGGTAGGGTACACACACCTAACCCACGATAGATCGGGGTTTCCACATTTCCTTCTGCGGGTGAGTAAGTGAGTAAGTCAGGTAGGGTAATTAGGCAAACTGCAGCTTATCGAAAACCCGAATCCCCGAATCTCGCCTCCCTTTCAGTCAGTCTGAGGAGGTACAGTGGTCATGGTATTCCCCCTTGTTTCGACCCACGGCGAAAACTAGCTTAGTCAGGCAATACCTACTTTTAATCGTACCCCCTGATCGGAGTACTAGTCAAAGACAAAGGTTGCGGTTCCTAATACTCTTTCTTCAGCGATGCGGTCAATTTGAAGCGATACGGGTAACAATTTCGTACCTTTTCTTTTACACGCGAGTAATCAACATGGAAACATGAAATTTGATCGCTAAAGGTATATGTAACTTTGAGAAGATGTCCTTTATGTTGAACCGAGCACGATTGCCGCTATATAATTTAATGCGAGATTTAGAAGGTCGAGAATCTAATATAATGTTGAGCTAAATGTGGATCCTGGCTAAGACCGTAAACTGTTAAAAATGCGGTCACCTGACCTGCGGCCGTGACGTTGATTGGGTGCATCCATTTGAGCTAAGGCCATCGAAGAACATG